TGTAAGCTTTGTTGACTTTTATTGCCTCAAGTTATGTTGTGAATTCACTTACACTTGGTTAATATTTAGAATTTCATTTGCACAAGTTTGACTTACATTGACTTGAAATAACGGGTTGTTACAGAGACAAAGAGGTTCGGAACTTGGGGTTCATAAGAACTGACAAGAGCTAGAGGACCTCCTGAGAGTTCTCAAAGGGTTTGTGCAACATTTGATTCATGACCTTGAAGCTCGTCAAACAGTTGGTAGAGCTTCAGTTTTTCAGATATCCATTACTCTGAAGACACGATTTCACATTTCCCCAGCCCTTTCCAAGACTGTTAATAAACTTGTGGTTGTATGCAAGTGGAGTTCGGACTATTCCATGAGTTGTCATGTTGTTGACAACGATTCGGTAACTGTTAAAAGTTGAGGCAACAGATTCACCAGGAGTTGTAGTAAACATATCGAACTCGTTTACAACCGAAGTTAAACACTTATCCTTCATATTTTCTGATCCCTCGAACAGGTCTTGAAGTGTGTCCCAAATCTCTTTAGTAGATTTGCACAACTTAATGTGCTCAAAGAGAGAATGTGGAACACCAAACACCATTTCGGAGAATGCAACTTGATATGCATGCAGTTTCTCGATGTCATCAGCAGTAAGAGGTGCTTGACGCTGTTCATCTTGTCTCATGAGAGTTGCAGCAACATCCCTCACAATTTGTCTTACAGGGACATGTGGACCTTCTTTAACGGATCTCCAGATAACTCCACATTTTTCTTCCAAGTAAAAACCTTTCCATTCTGACTTTCCAGTGATTATACTCTTCAACAACTAGCAATGGGGCACGAGAAGGGCAACCCACGCTATGTGCTATTTGCATTGAATATATTTGTTGAAAATTAGGAGCAACCATTGAATCTTTAATATAAGAGCAAAAGCGGTATATAGAAGAACTTTTATCCTGAACACAAAAATGATCGAAATACCAAGGTAATTTCGAATCAACTATAATATGTTCTTATGGATTCAAAGGACAACCACTCAAGCTCTGATACCAATTGTGAGTACAAGATTTAATGCGCAAGGACAAGGTTTGAAAACTCAAAGCTTGAGTTAATCAAAAGATTGATGTCTGCTCTTAATTGAAGTTTCAGTCAAGTCTGGTAAGACCAGTCGACTGAAGATAATATTCAACAAAGTACACACGTGTTTAATGAAAGAACTTTGAGTATGATAAATGTAGAGACAATAAATGAAGAAGAAGAATGTTTGAATATTCTTGACTTGAGAGAAAAGTGAAAGAGAGTTAATGTGAAAATATGCTATCTTTGGAAGAACAATCCGTGCTATTATTGTCATTAAAACAGTCCTTAAATAGTCAAGGAGCAACAACGTACAAATTGAGAAACATACAAAGGACTGGATAATCACACTACTTCGGACATTTTGATTATCCAAATAAACTAAAGAGACTTAGTCTTATGTAATGTTACATAACTAAAGAGACTTAGTCTTATGTAATGTTACATCATAGAAAAAGGCAAGAATAATAAATGGTGAACAGATAGACAATCTCGGATTCAGGCACCAACTTGAAAAGTTTCACTTCGGACTCCATCCTTATCTCGTACCATAAACTCATCTCGTACCACTTCACATCTCGGACACCAAACTGAATTCAAATCTTCATAAGTTGTGATTGGTAAAGGTTCACTTACAGGTTCCAACGACATGCATAAGTCAGCCAGCGATGTTAATTGAGGTTTCCGGTTCTGTGAGGGTTGAGATATTATACATGCTACCTTAATAACACCAACATAATATCACCATCCTATAATCTTTTTTATCAATCAAAACTTCAAAAATATTCAAGCTTATCGATCTATTGCTTCTTTATCGTTGTGTTTCTCTAAATTTTGTATGTGAATTTTGTGTAGCGAGTTCACTAAAATGATTGACCTTTTTATAATAATAAAATATATAAAATTAGAAATATAAAACAGTATTCGAAATTTATAACTATTGTAGTTATTAATTTAGGAAATGTAAAATAATATAGCTTTCAAATCAATTTGATTTGAGATAACTATTTATTTCTAACCACATATTAAAATGACATTTATAATATAAATGAAAGTTATAAGTTGATTGTTCGTTCTAACAAAGAATAATTTAAAAAACAATTCTCTAATATACGAAAAAATATTATATGATAAGAAGATAAAACTACATTGATATCTATTTCATTTTGCACTAATTTTAACATCATAATTTTTAATATCTTATTCGTAAACACTAAATTTTATGATATGATTACAATATCTATTTATCAAAGAAAAAAATTAATGGTTTGTCATATGGATTTTTAAGTCTATTAACTCAATTACTTAAATATTGACATTTATAACCTACAAAGTATTTATAGCACTCGTAGTGCGAGAAACCACATTCAATCAAAAAAAGTTCATTTAGTGTTTTCACATAAATATGAGTCCGTAAAGTCAAAGATTTGCGGCCTTTTTGTTGTTTATATACTACTTCATTTTTTGTTAACCCAACTTATGCAATATATAGTATAAAAAAGCAATATTTGACACTCTCTTCCATAACACCTCTATACGACCCTGCATCAATGGAGTTTGTAGTTATTGCTATTGGCCTGTTCTTATTCAACGCACTTTTTGGAGCCACTCTCACAATTTTCAGCCTCCGGAAACCCAAGAACTTACCTCCAGGCCCAACCCCGCTGCCAATCATCGGAAGCCTCCACCTGCTCGGCGACAAACCACACCAATCCCTAGCCAAGCTCTCCAAGATCTATGGCCCAATCATGTTCCTTAAACTTGGTCGCGCCACCGCTCTTGTCATCTCCTCCGCCGCTGCCGCCAAAGAAGTCCTCCAAAAGCAAGACCTTGCTTTCTCCTCCCGCCATATCCCCGACGCCCTCAGCGCCCATAATCAGTCCCTTCACTCCGTTGTCTGGCTCCCTGCTGCCACCCAGTGGCGGATCCTCCGCAGAATCCTTAACACCAACATCTTCACCACCAAATCCCTTGATACTAATCAGCAATTACGGAAGCAGAAAGTGCAAGAACTCGTTGCATACTGCCGGAAAGCCAGCCAATCCGGAGATTCAGTCAATATCAGTCGAGCTGCTTTCAGAACCACCCTAAATCTCCTATCCAACACTCTTTTCTCCAAGGATTTGACAGACCCGTATGAGGATTCCGGTAAAGAGTTTAAGGAACTGGTTGATAACGTCATGGTGGAGGCTGGGAAGCCAAATCTGGTGGACTTTTTCCCGGTGTTGAAGAAGATCGACCCACAAGGGATCAGGAGGAGAATGACGAATTATTTTGGGAGGATTAATGAGATTTTTGAGGAATTGATTGAAGAGAGGTTGGGGATGAGTGAGTCGAAGCACGATGATGTATTGGACGTCTGTTTGAAAATAAGTCGAGAGAATCCAGATGAGATCAATCGAACACATATCAAGAGCTTGTTTTTGGTACGTAACTTATTTAACATTCTTGTATTTCAAACATGCAATAATTGTATCAAGTTTAATTGGTAGTTATTCCATGTCTCAAAGACTCTAACCATAATCAAGAATTTTTATATTAGGTTTTTCCCAAAAAAAAAACATGACATTTTCTACCACCTTGGATTCTTGATCAGCTGACATTTTCTACCATACATAAACCTACTTTCTTAAATACAACTTCGTCTTTGTTATTAATATTGCATTCGGGTTAGGTTGGAAACCTAATTGGAAATTCGGTTTAAGTGATTTTCAATCAAACTGTAGGAAATATCCATAGGTATATTTATTATTCAATTAAATACAAAAGAATACCTTGCTTTTTCCATTCAATTATCAAAAAACTATTATCTCATTTTTTAGCCATAAGAAAAAAAACATTCCTTGATTTTCAATAGCTAATAGAGAGATTGAATCGTCTTCTCATTGTACTTTATATCTATTTATACAAGTGTTAAGGACAATCTATTTCTGAAAAAGATAAACAATAATTCTAATCCTATAAAAATACATATACCAATAAAAATACCCACAACGATAACGATAACGATAACGATAATAATAACAATAACAATAATCTTATGATAATTCTATATAATACACCCCTTCAATGAGAGAGCTAGCATGGGGATGACAAATGCTTAAAACATCTATAATAACAAAACTTTTTCACGTAAGTATTTTCATATCACCTCAACTAAATATAATGTCAACTCAACAAAATAAAAGGCGTTAATTACCTCCATAATAGATAAGCTTTTTGATTAGGTTTTTTCGAAATAAAAATAATAAAAATACATATAGGCCCCACCAGATTGAATAAATAAGTATTTGTTAATTTTCTTTAATTTTTCTATAAACTATAGGTCTCACTAAAATAATGAAAAAACTTTTGAGAAAAAGCTTACAAACTAGCTAGTCCATTTGAAAAACCTCTATTTCAAAAAGCTTCCATTATAGGAAATAATTTTTTTCATTTTGAAAAACCCCTGTGATGGATGCCCTTAGACTACTTTTTGGAATCTTCAAACATGATATTTGGGAGATAATTTATGAAGATATCACCAATTTGATATCGAGAAAGAACATGCATGACACGAACTTGTCCATTGGCAATTTGTTCACATACAAAATGTTTATCATACTCAATGTGTTTCGTGCGTTGATATTGACGAGATTACTAAAGAGATAGGTTGTTCTAACATATTCAAAATAGACTAAGGTTACCTTAGTGATAGGTAAAAATAGTTCGACGGGTAAATTGTGAATCCAATATGTTTCAAACACTACACTAGCTATTATTTTTGCCTCAACATTCGAGATAGATGGTAGCATGACGTTTTGAATACCATGATATAT